TTTTTTTTTTTACGATTATAAAAAGTTACCATAGAGATATATTTTGTTTCAAAAAATTCGGAGTAGTTTAGTTTTCTAAATAAATAGCGGCACTCACTCGAACAAAAATATCAAAAATCCGTTTCCTCTGCCTCTACAAATAACCGAAAGTGCTCAACGTATCTGCTATATATACACATCATGAACTACCAGTAAAATTGACAATAATATATAAAAAGAGAATAGAGCGATGTAAGACCTCGTGRAATATTAAAATATTAAAATCATATAAACAATACTGCTATAAAAATTTCGAGGGAGGGGAGGGACATACACAACGACAGATGCAAACTTTTCGAATCCGGACAGCTGGTTTCAAATTCAATTTACTTATTCCGCCGTTTAAACTCCGATATTGCAAGATTCGGAGCATCTGCGTTTTAACAAATTACAATCAAATGGTTTTGAATTTTCTTTTTTTTTTTATGGCGTTTCAATTGCGGTATCTAACGCCGTTATTAAGAAATGTGGTTAAGGTGTTATCTGAATGTCATAGACTAATTACAACAAGAAAACAAACAGAGAATTAATGTTGTGAATTTTTAAGGTATGCGAAATAAGCCACACTCAGTTAAATACATAAATATTGCAACACAAAAAGCATTGAGCAAAAGGTGTAATATTATTGAGAACAAAATACGAAGTTAATTCAGTTGCTACAAAGATTAACACAATATACGTGACATCCGGGCTTACATTTCGGAAAGAAAAAAGCGCGTTTTTATGGCTTTGTTCGTCTTCCGCATCATTTGGGATTCCCGCGCGCGGGTACTTTGAGTTGTAAATCGCCAATTCTCTATATTGTTCTATAGCCGAAGCTTTGCAACTTCAAAATGCCCCTTAGCAAAAACTATGATAATTAAATTTTTAATTAGCCCTAAATCGACCTTTTTATTTATGAAGAAAAACGTTTAAGAAAACAAGGTCCTCCCGCTCTTTCTCTTTCCCTTTCTATTTTATTTGGCATTTTTGCATCTTCCATATTGTATTGCTTGCTATTAATCACGTGACTTTTTGGAGTTGACTGGGGGGCAAACAAGCGGTTGACTGGGAGGCAACTAGCGAATGCTAAGTCAAAACATATCAAAATAAGCCCTCAAACTATTGTATTTGACTATTTTCACGACATCAAACCAGAAAACAAGAGATCAAAACAACCTCCAGAATTCTACAAGCCATAAAAAAAGAGCTATTACCGGAAGTGACGTCTATTGATAGAAACCTATACATAACGGTACGTTTCGCGGCAAAGTCGGAGAAAAAACAACATCTTTGGCCAGGATCAAACGCGCAAACTTTTATGGCGCCGACCATTAAGAAAACCTTTATCCATTAAATGAAACGGCTCTCCGTAACGTATCAAAACAAGACTTATAACAACCAATAGCAATGACATCACGGGAATATTTCGGGTGTTATGTAGCTAATTAGTTTCATATTTACTAGAATAATACCTCGGGGTACTAGTTCTTCGGCGATTATAAACACACAGGATATAGAAGGAAGGAACTACGCCATAAAGAGGTAGTCATTATTAATATGAGTGGGAAGAGAACGATAAATACACTCTCTAGTAATCTAGGAGTTTCAGCAAATGATTGTCAAGATGACACGAAGGAAAAGAAGATAGTATATCAGATGGTTGGCCAAGCTTTGAAGATGATCGGAGATGAACTGAACTTCAAATACGACATAAATCCAGTAACATATGGAAAAAGTTTAACAAAAGTTATCACTAATCAAAGAGTTTATAAAGAAGTGTTCAAAGATGGTAAGCCTTGATATCAATAATACCTTGATTTATATGACAAGGAAGTCAGTTAAATCAACTGCCACAGTTGAAGATGATTCTATTCAAAGATGCTGAATTAACAACAAATGTCAAAGCCAAGTCGACTGAACAGAATCCAGAGAAAATCCTAATTTCATGCTGGATAAAGAAAAACATTGCTAAAAAAAACAGACTATTATTTTTGTTTTGGTTTAATATTTAAATTGACTTCATTGTAGAAAGAATATTAGTGAATTTGACTGAGGAAGGTCAAGGTCGCCGTTATTCAGTTTCGAGTACGATGGGGACTTATTTTGCCTAAAAAGAATGCGTTTTTCTCATTGAAATAGTGTAGTCAAATACCAAAGAGCAGCATTTTTTGCTGTATTATATTGTAAAAAACGTTTTYGTAAGACTTGAGAAAAAAATACGACTGTACTATTAGTATAACGCTGTAAAAAATAATTTAAAAGGCTAAGCGTACTAAGCCACTCGACAAAACCAAACGGTTGCCAAGTGTTAAATTTTGCAACTTTAGCATAATGCATTTCGCTATATAAACAAAAAAATGTACGAGAAAAAATATATCATAAAATAAAACTTCTCTTGTTATTATCAAGAATATTAATTARTATTTGTATTCGAACTTCAATATTKTTGCTTTTACATGAAATTAGATAATATAAATGCAAAAACGTCTTTCCGCAATGCAAATAGGTTTCTTGCGAAGTTAATCTTAATTGTGCTAAGTAAATGAAGTTATTATCTTTATCATTATTTTAAAAAGATATATAGTTATAGATTTAGCAAGCACATTTACTTTAAACCTCTCAAATGGATATAGATTTCTTAAGCAGCAAATGGAGATGAAATTTATTTAAATGTTTCGCCGGTTAGGGCTTCATCAGTGATCGACAACTTTCCGCTTAATAATTATTTTGTGATGATTATAGAGCATATCTTACAGCACAAACAGTCACAAATATCAAAAATCCGTTTTTAGTATCTCACGGTATCCTTCAAGAAAGAACGAAGATGCTGTTACACAGGAAGCCCAATCTTTRTTTCTTAACAGAAACCTATTCAGAACAAATTGCTTTTTTATGTTTTATCAATAAAAGTTTTTCAGCTTCTGATGTAAAATCAATTTCAGTGCTGCCAAATCCGCTGTTATTGTTATATTATGATTGTTTACCTTTATATATTAACTTGTATTTCTAAGCTTTGTCGATAACTTGAGCTTTGATCGGGACCTTGTCACATGAACCTGCACGTGAGACAGCATTTCGTTCCGACCACCACAAGTTGAAAAATTGTGCCTTTTTCACGCAGTAGCCATGTTAGCTTGAACTATAAAGATCCTACCACGCGTAGCCTCGCATTCAAGTGCTTTATAATAACTTGATACGCGTGAAACAAAGATTTTTATTCTCATGAGATGAAAACATGGCCGCCGTGTAATACTGAGGTCTATGCAATAAAGACTTGGAATAGATACCATGTGACAATGAAACGTTTCGATACAGAATTTACTATATCCTTATAGCCAATCACGGTACGTTAGATTATTGTTCCTCCAATCAAAATGGTAGTCTACTGCATCGTTACGGACACGGCACGCCATGCACTACAGTGAGTCATGTTCACAAATAGTCATGTAAATATAATACAGGTCATAAGTTACCAGCTTGTTCCAATGATCGCGTGAATCTGTGAGGTTATTTGAATAAAACACAGGAATCCCAACGTGATTTTGATACATCAGACATTCAGACTGAAAGAATTGACCAATCATAGAATCGCTTGGATATAGTAGAAATGAAGCGTTGAAATTTGTTTGCGTTTGCCTTTCTAAGAAATTTWAAAAAAATAGAAACCTATGGGAATATTATGTCCAAATTTTTGGCTAGCACGTCACTACATATATGATTGTGGTGCTGAAATTGGGAAGTAAACCGAATGATGGAACTTTGGAACATAGTATGATTGTGGGCTTAAATTAGGGAGC